AGGACCCCCGAGAGGATCATTGGGCTGCGGTAAAGCGGCTGTTGCGCTATGTCAAGGGGACGGTGGACCAGGGCATCATCTTTCCCAAGACCGGCGGTGGAAGTGGGCTGCGGCTCACGGTTTTCAGCGATGCAGACATGGCAGGCGACATTGATGGGCGGAAGAGCACCTCCGGTGTGCTCGTCTTCCTTGGATCAGCCCCAATCTCATGGCAGTCGTTGAAACAGAAGATCGTGGCGTTGTCTACGTGCGAGGCGGAGTACGTGGCGGCAGCCACAGCGGCATGTCAGGCGGTCTGGCTGCGTAGGTTGCTGGGCGAGCTGACCGGCGAGGAAGCTCGTCCACCAGCTCTGATGGTGGACAACCAGCCCGCCATTGCCCTTGCAAAAAATCCAGTCCTCCATGACCGGAGCAAGCACATCGATACCCGTTTTCACTTCATCAGGGATTGTGTCGATGAAGGACATATTGTTTTGGAGTTTGTCGAATCCGGACGGCAGCTCGCAGACATCCTTACCAAGCCACTCGGCCGTCTTCGGTTCATGGAGCTGAGGACCAAGATTGGAATGATAGGAAACAAGGAAGAGCAGCATGATTAGGGGAAGAATTGTAAGAAATATATAATCTGCTGTTTCCTTGCAGCTTCATTGCAATAGCAATGCAAATTCCTTGCAGCTGCAAAGCACCTTCATAGCAGCCATTATGGGCTGATTTTTCAGCTTAAGTAATTTCTAGGAAAGTCACTAGGTAGTTGTTTTTAGTTCTTATAAATAGGGATGTAGTTTTGTATTTGTAAACACAGCAAAAACTGAATAATCAATACTTTGAGTTGTTCAATATCTTCTTCTATCCTAAAAGTGTCCGTTTGTGTCGGGAAGCATTTTTGCTTACACGAACAGTGCATCCTAGCTGCAAATAAAGACGAGCAGGGACTAACAGGTCCATTTGTATTGCCTGAGAGGAATCAGACCCCTCTTGTCAGTAACTAATTACTCGATTCAAGTGACCTTCCTCTCAAATCTCAACAGCAAATAGTGCATAAACATACTGTGGACAGTTTATCATCCCTAACCTACAATGAGTGTAAACTCATAGAATAGGCCCTTATATTGAGCTCGACTTTGGGCTTTTATGCATTGTACTCATATTGGCACTATTTGCTTATCAACATTGAAATGGGGAAAATTCCAAAGGTGGTTTCAACCAAGTAATCAGTTGTTGAGAGAGGTCTAAATTACCTTAAGAAATGCAAATAGATCTCACAAAATAAAATTTAATGGAAGGCATCAGATGTTCACATGATGGACATTACAGTGTTGCATTTTGAGTGAGGAATGGAAGTGTAAGCTGAATGCAATTTCTGACCAACTTGAACTCTCCATTTCTATTTTCTGTTACTTATATACTTATATTAGTAGCTTTCCTTTCCGATTAACATTTGCTGTTTCCATGTTCATGCCGAAATTTCTTTGCAGCATATAATGCATTTTTTCTTCGGTTTAAGTCCTGCTGCTAACTAATTTCGTATTTATATTGTTAGTGGAACCAAGAAGGCAGCACATAGACTGAAAATTTTATTTGGGTTAGCTGGATTTAAAGCAGCTGAGCTTCATGGAGACCTCACCCAGGCCCAGCGTCTTGATGTAAGTTCCTCCCAGACTCCCATCTTCATCGTTTGTTTTCTTTTGGGTTTGTGAGTGGTTCACTTCTGCATCTTGAAGTATTTTGTTCTGATGGATAGGCCTTGGAGCTGTTCAGGAAGCAACAAGTGGATTTTCTAATTGCTACGGATGTTGCTGCTCGTGTAAGAATAAGATTTTTGTTTCATGCAGCTAAACTAATGGGGTGCTTAGAGTGGGGGTTTGGGAAGTGGGAATGGGAATGAAATGAGTAGTGCTTGACTGCCCGTTGTTTATTGTTGAATCATACCCCTACAAATTGGGTTTATGAAAAGTATTTACCCATTTCTTTCACTCCCATAGCTGTTCACATTCCTTTAATGTTACCAAGCACTCCCGATTATTAGAATTTTTATAAAGATCATTAGATCCATGTGATGTTGCTTTGTTGTTCCCACTTTACTCTTGTATTTAATTTTTCAGGGTCTTGATATTATAGGAGTTCAGACAGTTATCAATTTTGCATGTCCTCGAGACCTTACGAGGTAATTTACTCTAATGGTTTTCAAATTAAGTAGCGACTACTTATATGCGGCTCTGCATTTTCAACTTGTAGTCCTTTCTATGAAAAAATGGAAATCATTCAACTATCCCACTGAGGCATTTGAAGGTGCAATGTTATCAACAATATTCATTTATAACAACCTTCCTATCAAAGAAAAACATCCTGTGACCATTTCTAACATAACTACGATGGGAAAGTCATAAGTGAAGTGTCACACTCTCCCGAAACTCAAATTATTGTTACTTCTATATTTTCATCAAGTCAAACTAAATATTCCTGATATTGTATAATTGTGAAAAAGTAATATCCATGCAGTTATGTACACCGAGTGGGTCGTACTGCCAGAGCTGGCAGAGAAGGTTATGCTGTTACATTTGTTACTGATGATGACCGGTCTCTCTTAAAAGCTATTGTAAGATTCCATCTCTTCCATTCAACTTATGGATATGTCTAGTTTTGTCTGCTTTAGGAGGTTCAGTTGCTCAATTGAAAATCTCAGCGAAGTTCTGCTCTAGTTTTGGTATATGCTATTGTCTACTTTGTAGGTTTTTTATGGTGGGGTCAAATGGACTCTTTCATGGTTTGTTGTTTTCTTGGGACTTCCAAAAATGATGCATTTCAATTCAAACCCAAATTTTATAATGTTATAACTTCATGGCATTGATCACTTAGTTAGGTCATGTTCCACACATCCGTGCGTTGGTGCAAGTATTATGTATTCTCTTGAAGGAAAAACTTCAATAGATGAAATTTACACTTGAGCTTTGGCCTTGCACAATGAATTAAGATGAAGCACATAACTAGGACGATGGCCCAAAAAAATTAGGTACGGAATGATTTGAACTATCATGACAGGTTAAGAAAGCTGGTTCAAGGCTCAGAAGCCGGATTGTAGCTGAGCAATCAATAAGGAGATGGTCCCAAATGATTGAGCAAATGGAAGATGAAGTGTCCTCAATTCTTCTTGAAGAAAGGTAAATGATACATTGTATCATCTGATTTCCAAAGAAAATGTAAATGACATATCATTTCTTTATTCTTTTTTTATTCTTGTTTCAGGGAAGAAATGGCGCTAAGGAAAGCTGAAATGGAGGCAACAAAGGTTTTCTTTTCTTTGAATTTATTTATCTCTTCAGCATTAAATTTTTGATCCCTTGCTTTAAATTGTAGTGAATCAATGTGTTTTATTCTAACTCTGTAGGCGGAGAACATGATTGCTCACAAAGATGAAATTTATTCAAGGCCGAAAAGAACTTGGTTTGTTACAGAGAAGGAGAAAAAGCTTGTAGCTAAGGAAGCCAAGGTAATTATCTGGAATAGCTTTTGGTTATCCATACGATTGTCACACTTTCTTTTACTAAATTTAATTCTCGTGTTTGGTTTCCCAAAATCTACAAATGATTTAATAGGAAGCTCTGGGTAAGAGAAAAGGTTCTGGCAATGAGGCAATTAGCGCTGAACAAGCAGAAGAATTGAAGATGAAGGAAAAGAGAAAACGAGAGCGTGAGGTACTGCACATTAATAATTCCTTCATTATAATGTCTGGACAAATTTGATTCATAGAAAGCTGATTTTCTTTTTCTTTTTAGAAAAATTTGCCTAGGAAAAAGCGAAGGAAATTGGAGGCAGCTAGAGAAATGTTAGAGGAGGAAGAAGATGAAGTTAAGGCACGCACATTCCCCTTCTCTATTTTGTATTGTTACTGAAGTTCATTGCTAACATTCTTGACATATAAAATCGTGCCAAGGATCAAAAAATTACTTTATAGATGATGTACCTTTTCCTGTTAGTTAGTACAAAATAATTATATCCATAAATATGCAAAAATCAATGATAGCTTCTAACAGCTAGTATTTGGAAACTGACCAGGGAAAACAGAAAAGCAAGGAGGACAAAACAGGAATTTCCCTTGTTGACGTGGCTTATCGCCGAGCAAAGGCAGTGAAGGCTGCCAAAAGAGCTGTTGAGGCCGGAAAAATCGTGAAGAAATCCGTTAAGAAACCCAACCAAGTTCGTAAATCGAGATCAGAAGAGATGCAGGAGCTTTTTGAGAGTGACATGAGCGAGAAAAGGCAGAAAAAAACTTCTGCGCGAGGTGGCGGGAAGAGAAAATCCTCGTTCAAGAGCAAGTCACGGTACGAATATTACTTGCAGACATTTGATTTCATTTAAATTTATTTATCTATTAGCACGGCTATTGGTAAATTTATGTTTGATGTCAGTTGAACTATCAACTTTTTTGCCTAATAATTTTGTGGTGTTGTGATGTATATATGGTGTGGCCACTCATTTTAAGTTTGTTGTTTTGGTATTTTGATCATTGCAACTCATTTTACTCTGCAGGTACAAGCGGAAGTAGTTCCGATTTCCGAATTGTCATCTCGTTGAATGAGCGGGTCAGATTATTCGGGGCCTGGGCGGGTTGCAAAACTGCTGTGCCCTCTTTTTGGATTTTTTTTTTCTTTTTAAATTATTAACTTCAAAATTAAACTATAAATGTGCTTGTAGCTGATTTATGTTGAGATTTTGTTTTACTCCTTGGATTCATTCATGAACATCTGTAGTCAAAATGTGCGAACAAATTTATTTATCTTGAGATACAAGTTTGCATATATAAATTTTTCAAGGAATTACAGTTTTTATTCTAATTATTAAGTAACTATCAAATGTCCATTTTTATTTATGTTGCCGTTTAGCGAATGACAAATCAGTTTGAAAGCCTTGAAAAGTAGTGAGATTTGTCCTTGCTGAATTTCTGAGCATGATTTAATTCAACAAAATGATACATTATTTTCAACAAAACCCAATCACAATAATAATAACCGCAGGAGCAAATCACAATTTGTGCATGAACAAATAAATACATACGACAATGAATGAAAACATTAAAAAGGTGCAAACAAGAAAGCAAATCCATTACCAAAATGCAATTATTTACAGCTCGGCCACAATCTGTTTTCATAATTATGACAATAATAACTACTATACTTATAAAGAGCCTCTTCAGTTTTCACCGAATAATGTAAAAGATCAGTACTAACATTATGGGAAGTCCTATCACTCTTAAAAATCTTCAAAATATTCAAACAGTTGAAACAATTATACCTATCTCTTCTGTACTCCTCTAAGTAACCCTCTCACTGGAATCAAACGAGCACCTCGAATTTCCCTTGATTATTGAGTTTCTATAGAATCCTCCTCCCTACTTATGTCAAATGGGGTCTCTTTCTTCTTTTCTCTTTATCAGTCACTATAAGATCACTAGACGAGCTCCAAATCCGACTCTAACAATCCAATCCCAAGAAGAAGGCTTACTCGAAATCAACTCTGTTTCCAATGCGGCATAAAATGCTTATACGGATAATACTGATCGTTATTATACCCGTTTTCAGGTTCTTTTCTCTTAGCACCAAAGGACGAGCCCATTGGGCCTTGAGGAGGAGTGGGCCCTTCAACGGGCCTGACATTGGTCGAATTCAAGAACAGCCCAAGCCCAGAAGGATCTCTACTTCCACTCTCTGAAAACATCCCAGAATTAAGATCATAATTATTGCTCCTCGATGGCTCCATCCCGTTGTTCATGTTCACTAGAAACGGTGTTTGAGAGAAAGCAGCAGCAGCAGCAGGCAAACCAGAAGCCGAGCCCATCATGTAAGGAATGGAGTGAGGCCCGGGCCCGTAAACAGGGCCCGAAAACGGTAAAGTGGGCCCGGGCGGGACATTACTGTAGCCGTAAACCGCAGAATGGGCATACGGGCCAGCAGGCCCGATCCCGATAAAATTTCCCATCCTTCCCATGTTATTATAATCGAACGCGGGCCCTGAAATTCGTCCGTTTTGATGAGAAGGCAGAGGAGTTTGTGTAGCGAAAAAATCCCTCTGCTCGACTTCCACCTTCTTACCCATTATGGATATTGCAGGGTCACAGAAATTTTGATTTTGAGATGACACATTAAGATCGATACTTCTTGTTGTGGGATGCTGCTGAGCTGGCGATGACTGCTGCTGCGGGTAAAACGGGCCTATCCGCCAATCCAAAATGGGCCCACCGCTGCTATCTTCGCTAGTTCGGTTCAGGTCCAGCTCGAGAAGCCCGGTTATTTTGGAATTTCCCTCCGCAGAAGATTCGTCGATGCTCTCGCTCACATTCAGATCGAAATCGAGCCCAATTCCTTTTCGCTCCCCATCGAGTGGGGCCCGGCGAGGGGAAGCGGGCCTGAAGGCGCTTGTTCGGGCCGAACCTTTCCATCCGAGATTCCCTTCAAACTCTAATGGGCCACCTGGCGGCTTAGATGCCGATGGGGTTGCTCTTGAAGCAGAAACTACAGAGACTGCAGATGAGAATTGATTTTCGAGACGAGCATCAGCATTATTATCATCATCACAGTCCTCCAACATCACTACTTCTTGATTCAGGTCGAAAAAATTACGAGCACCTTTTTCTTCTAGAGAAGTTGCCACGTCATGAGTGCCAGCTGTGTCAGGGTTTTCGGAGCTGGTTGAGGACTCGTTAGACGAACCGGACTTTTCTTCAGCCTTGTTTATGGGCGATTCGGAGTTTTTACTTTTACCACTCACTGAGTCCGGGCTTTCGGCCCGAAGTGAATTTTCGTTGCTTCTTCTTCCTGGTAATTTCTCGGTGGAACTAAAGCTATGTTCTCTGTAATCCACGATCTCTCTCTCTACCTCCATTGCTACCTGCCGAGCGACTTCTAGAGGATCCACAATACCGTAGTCGATTTCGACATCGGGCCTTTTGGTGGCCCGGTCAAATTCTTCCCTATCCGTCTGCTTCTTGGTGGGACTGCGGTTATCGGCTGAATCATTCGTTTTCACGAAATTACTAATCCCTGAAAGGAAATTTCCCCAGCTTATTGTCGTGGAGGATTCTGGCAAACTGCAATTGTTGATGATGTCACCACCTTCTTTAGATATGAAATTGCTCGAACCTCTGTACTGATTTGCATCATCAATTGCACAAACAACCCCTTCATCCTTTCCATCAGAATCGACACGTGATAAGCTCTCGCTCGAGTTTTTCTGAGGACTCGGTTCAGTTATGTCCTCAGATTGGTTTGCTAAATCCCTGGGCGAAGACGGCAAACTAACATGATGGTCGAGAGGCTTCTCGTCTGAGATTTTGTTCGGCTCGTCAGTGGTTTTTTCAATTTGGTCATGGCTGAGGACAACATCTGAACAGGTAGATAACAACACCTTATCATCTCTGGTTATTTCGTGTTCGATATTATTTAAAGAAGCTTCTGAATGCCCGATAATAGCTTTTGCCTCGTCATCTGTTAAACTTCTGGCTTTATCAACAACTAAAGGACATGCATCATCACTGTTTACTTTTGTTTTCCAGCTTTCGAGCAAAGCTTCAGCTTTATCCTTAACTTGGCGACTATTGTAATCGAGGAAATCCTCGACTACTGTCCGAATTTCGGAAGCGATTATTTTTTCAGAGTCTACGTTCAGTTTTTCGAGTGCTAGCAACAAATGAGTGATGTGTTCTTCCAAAAAGATGTCGTTTGTGTCTTTACTTGATCTCTGGGCATCTTTTAACCAGTTAGAAATGTAGTGAAGGCCATCTAACTGAAGAAAAAGATCGAGACATTCTTTATTTTCGGTTGACGATAAAACACTTGCTACTGCAGACCTCTGCCTTGCTGAGTCAGCTGCAGTTTTCACATCACAATCTCTCTCTTTTTGCATCATGGCCATGAGTTCCGTAACCCGAGATGGGGCTGAGAGTCCATTATTCATCTCGGTTAAGGTGAAAAAATCGTCGAGTGTCATAATGTCTCAAAAGTCAAACCTTATGACTGCAACGGACTACTGTTTTCCCATACATTCTCTTTTTGTTATGCCCTGAAAAATAACATGTCATAGCAAATGATACTCAAAACTGGATATTGCAAAACTATATGAGACAGTTCAATTAATATATGGTTCCAAACAGTTAATAGAGACATAGTGAGGAAGACTAGTAAAACGATACACCTGAAACCAATTTATTTATTGTGGTTAGCAAGGAAAAAAAATAAAAATAAGAATAGTTAACTAAGGCAGATTATCTTATGTTCAGAATGATACATATTTTGCTGTATATAAACTCTGCCAGATGAAATTGGGTCAATGAACTGTTAAGATGGGTACAACACAAACATTTCTGAAGACGCATTAACACATAATTTTTTACAATGAGTTTCAATATAATCACCCAGATTTTTTTATTTTTTTGTCTTCCTGAATATACGAACTCGAAATGATTGAAGCAAGATGAAAGAACTCAACTTACCTAAAGAAGCCACAATTTTTTGTAGCACAAATGTTGGGCCAATCAAGTAGCATAAAGAGATTGTCATGTGTGTCATAATCATACGTCAATGGATTATATTGTAAGACCCTTTTTCATGCTTCAGACATGTTTATGCAACGAAAAATCATAAAGATAGCCATGCTTTACTTAACAGATAGTTGAAGATTTGAAATCTTCAAAACCACAAAGTACTAACAACTCAAAGATTAAAATTCGAGTACAGCATTCACAAATGCCACTGTGGATTGTACTGACAACATAGATAATCAAATAAGAGTTAGTATTTGCACTCGGATAAACAAAATAAGGCTAAAGACGAAAATTGTCCCCGACACTTGCAATTCTAAACCATCATGAGCAATCAAAGAAAGAAGAATACAAAGTTCCTTCCAAATTCTTGCCCAACCACAACTTGAGATCTGAGCGTTGATAAGTTGATGAACTATCATCTTTGATAACTTAGAAATAGAAGGAAAACTAGCTTGTAGCCAACCAAGAGATAAGGAAAAAAAAAACACTGTAAGCATGAAAAATAAGTTGTCCAATATCTACTTTGAAAATGCCGCAATAAATAAAAATATCTTATGTCTCTTGAAAAATCACGGACCAGGGCTTGCTTCAAATGCCAGAAGGATAAAACAATTGGGAAGAAGTGGTATATAGCTCATGAAGAAAAATTCAATAGATGAAATATATATGTTAAAAAGGTAAAATCAAAATAGAATATAATTCAATTTACCGAGTCACTCGAAGAGCACCAGCCACACACACACACACACACACACGCAAGGGGGAAACTGAAATACAGGGCCTTTTGCAGAACCCAATACCAAAATTCCCAATCTTCAAGAAAGAGAACCACAAGAATTTCATCAAGCACAAAGTCGAATTGCACAGAAAGAGTGGCAAATTCTTAATCAAAAACCCTAAATTACCATTTCCTTCGCCCCTTTTCACCTTAGGACAAGGAATCAGCGTTTCCAAAAGCATGAAGTGTTCACACATCCACAGTCAATAAAACGGACAAAGCAGAGATCTTTATTCAAAATACGGCAATCAATGCAGCAAAAAAATTCGAATTAAATTGCTTTAACCCATAGAAAAATCATTCACAAGAACATCAAACAGCGAGGCCCAGGAATGAATTCTGTTTACCTGTTTCCAAAATGGCGAAATCAGCTCGCTCTTCCAAAGAATTCAGCTTCTCGACTGAAAAAATCAAGAGCTCCAGTTGTTCCCAAAATTGAACCCCAATTTCTATTACACTTCCAGCACAAAAAAAAAAATAAAAAAAATATAACTTTAAATGCGAGAAGAATTGCGAAGAACAAAACTAATTTTTCACAGTATAAAATATTTCTTCGCCGACTTTCTGTAGTCTGTAGCTGAATTTTTTTTTCCTCTGAAACTCGGTATTGGTCTGTTTTAGGTCCCAAGTGGGTAATCAACACGCGCCGCGCGTGGCATTTTCTCTAATGGGCCGGGCCCGTGTGTGATTTAATTAGTCTAAGTTGCGTAAATAGAATAACTTTTATGGTGCGATTGAAAACTTATCGGTTTTGTTTGATCATATAATTTTTTTAAACTTTTTAATTTGAAATTCAATTCAAATTTAATTCAATTTAACTTTTCTTCATATTATTAATATAACTGAATAATATCAATCAATTATCCTCACACATCATGTCAACTTTAATTTACTATTCACCAACATATTTTTAACCAATGTTCTAAAAGTCGCTAAACGTTCGCAGGCAGTGCTTAGGAGGGATTAAAAAAATATTAATAAATTTATTTATATTTACCTTGATACATAATTTATAAATATATTATATAAAATATATTAATTAATACAGTCAAATAGAAAGAGTATGCAAAATCTACTGAATTCATAATTATCGTATTAATTGTGATACATTTACTAATATTTTCATTATATATTTACTATAAATTTCATGAGAATAAAATTAAAATTATTTTTATTTTTTTAAAGTAAAATAATAATAATAAAAAAAAAACGGACGCACATCGCATAGTCTGCCTAGGCGCCGCTTAACCATTTGAACGCCTAGAACAATTGCCTAGGCAAAAGCCGTGGCGCCTAAGTGTCGCCTAGTGCCTAAGTGCCGTGATGAATATCGTGTATCGACTATTCAGTTTGTGAAAATTCGCACTAAATGGTCATCGGTTGTCACGAGAAGTTCTGCTTGAAAATGAGCATTTTTTTTATTTCTTATTTCATAAAAAAAGAACCTAATGAAAATTTTCAGAGTTGTAAAGCCACCATAGTATAAAAGACACCACAACCTATGAATTTGACAAATAAATTGAAATAACTAATGTAAACTGCAAAAGAAATGCTGAAAACCGATGTCCAAATGTACAGGTTTACGACCTGTCGCGGCACGACGCTTCACTAGGCAGCGGTCTCTGTTCCCTCGTGATGGCCAGCGCGGCCCGAGGGGGATGTAGGCTTCGCGGCGTAAAGCCTGCTTCTGCTGCGGCCTCTGCCCACTCGTGAAAGCTCATCCCGGCACGAGATCTGCTCCTGTTGCGATGTGTTGCCCCATTGTCGTCGTGTGGCTGTGCTCAGGTCAGTTCACGTCACACCGCTTAGGCATACGCCTAGGCCAACTTTTAGTACAGAGTTTTTAACTACGTATTATTTACAACAACCATTCACTTATTTTCACATCTCATTTAATCATTATATTTTAAATATTATTATAATACAAACTCAAAATCTCACTCAAGTCTCCACTCAATCAACTTTATTTAAAATTAACTACTTTAACAAATAAATTTAGTGAAAATCGATTTTATTTATATCCAATCGCGTCCTTAGGTAGTTTGTGTACGATATTTTTTTATTTATTTGTTTAATTAATATTTATATCATTAAAAAATAAGATAAAATTACTTTTATAAAATATATTATTTGTTTCATTTATTTGGTCTTCAATAGTTTTAGAAATACAATTAGAAAATAAGAAGATAATTCACACTTGTTCAGATATTTTTAAATATCAATAAATTATTAATTAATATTTATTATTTTTAAATATTCACAAATTTAAATATACATCTTTTATTGAAAAAGTTTTTTTTTTCATCTAATTTCTATAAAATATTTTAAAAAATCGTAAATCGATTATTCGATTGCCTAAATGTTATTAATTTAATTTTATGAGCAGTGCACTTACAATAGGTTGTCACAAATTGCTTGAGACATCACACATCTCTATTTTGAAAGAGTACAATTTATTGGACGGTAATTATCTAACTTTATAATGAATTGTTTGGTACTTAATTCAGAAATAAGTGATATTTAGCATTATATAAGATTAACAGCGGTTGTAACTGGATAGAGATTCAATTCATTCTTTGTTCAGCAAG